GAAGTTATGTAAGTATTTAACATATGTTTAATCAACAACACCTTTTTATTTATTTGTATTTGTTATCATTTTTTAAGTTCAATAAATAAACTACAAAAAGGTGTTGTTAATTAAAAATATGATGTTTAGATCACACAACTGTTTCATATCTATTTAATTTTTATATTTATTGTTATATAGAAAGTGTAAATATTAACACATTTTTAACTTCAAACGTTTAATAGAGACAGTGTATATATTAGATATGTCCTTAAATGAAAATAACTTTGTTAGCTCATGTTAATAAAACAAATAATATTTTATTAAAACAAGAGCATAACGTATTTGTTTAATTAATGTGTTATTGAATTAACAAAATTATTTTTAATTTAAAAAATAATACTATTGAGACAACATCATTTTTTTCAGTGTAAACTGCGTAAGTCGCACGAAATACACGAAAACATATAAATTAAATGCAATGTAAAAAATATGTTAAATATATGTCTATAATGTAAATTAACATTTAAATGTACATTATATACATCTACTCATCCAAAGTACGGAAAGTCACAAAAGTGTTTATCCCCAACTCGAAAAATAAATACACATGGAAAGTTTCGCAAGTGCAATTAGAAGAACGCGTTCTCTGCAACGCACATTTCATACACGGTTTATCTTGCGAAAGTACACCGCGAATGTTCTCAGCGAATTGAGTGCGCGTTGTTAGGTGGAATATCGTTCAAAGAGCGGCAAGAAGGAGCTCTTATATGGAACGAGATTCTCATCTCTCCACGATCATAGAAAAAGAAAGAGGGAGAAGCAGCATGGGTGGAGACAAGCCACGGAAAGGGACTCGGATTCCATATTTTCCTCGGATATGGGGATAGGGGTTCATCCTCTCTGACCAACATCCGGCGGAGCTGTCCACCCCGGTCCCGGTGCTCGTGTATTATTTATTTCTCGCGGACATATGGATTATGGACCAGCCAGCTCCCCATCCGCTTCAGAGCGTCGTAACCACCGTCACAAACTCCAGTTTCTCTATCTCTCTCTTTCTCTTCTCCGCTGTATCTACTCTGCTTTTATCCTTCAATTCTCCACCCCTGAACAACTACCATCCCGGTTCCCGTCCCGACTTCTTTTTTCAACTTCGCGGATCGCAAGGTTGTTTTCTCTCGATCTTCGCGAACCGTCGAGAGATCTTAAATCCAAGAAGCAGCCGCTGTCTCACTCTTTCTTTCTTCCTTTCTCCGCCTTTCGATAGCCGTTTTTTCCATTTTTCTTTCTTTCTTTTTTTTTTCGTTCGTATTTCCGCTGAAAGAAAATCTCCCGTGCGACCCGGCGAAGAGCGCGCGAGCGTTTTACGTGCCCAACGATCCGCACGAAATTGTCTCAAGATCGTCCGCACAGAGGGAGTGGAGACGGACGCTGGTACATTGAGCGAGCGATACCCGGGAACGATGAAGCTTCGCTCGGATGACAAACCAATCTCACGCGTCGACTGCGGATCCGATGAGCTCTCCGGCTGCGCGGACGCTATCGAAGAAGAAAACTCGTGACACGCTCCGTTGGGCTCATCTGGATCTGATAACTATCGGACGAATGAATACCGAATGCACGAATGAGTGTATTAAATTCTGTTCACCGTAGTTGGAAAAGCGTAGTCAAGAAACAAATAAAAAAATAAAATGCAATTTTCAACCGAAATCTGAATATCAAAATTGTTACCGGAAGCAATCTTAGCTGTGATCCTGTTATCCTTGGGCATGGCTACTCGTCGCTTACGAGCCAGTGATTGCCTAGCCATAGGTAGGTCAATTTTCTCGGTAAGTCGTGCAAAGGAAGACGATGATGACGATGGTGATGGAAGGATGCGAAACACACGACGTAGCTAAAATAATATTGGCCGAAGATAGCCCTGGTGATAGACTGCCAAGAAAAGGGCTTGGCTGGTTGGGGCGAGGATGCTATTATTGCCTTTCGAGATAGATGACTTCTG